GGCTGGCTGGGCCATTGAAGCAATGTGGGTGTTGGGCATACCTGCCAGCACTTCATTAATAACGTGAATCACAGACTGCAGGTATGCATCATTCCATGCTGTACAGTCAGGATGAAAAACAGAGGAATATTGTGCATACCTTTACACTACAGCAAGTATTAAAGGCATGGGTTACTGTCAAATGTACATCCCCCAATAGAACCGCTGAGTCGACAGTATGACATATTTATTCACTAATATTCCTTCAAGGATGACTTAAGGCCTCCATTAAACAGCGGATTAATGTATTTGGCACTTATTCTTACTGTCACTAAGTCAGCGAAAATAAAACGTCTGTTTTTGTAAAATCATATTGAGAGAACCTCACATTTTCTATCTCGCAAAGACAGTTTTCTTAATACAGAACATTAAATTCTATTGTGAACTAATTATTATGTAGAGAGAGAAAAAAGTCATTCTCACTTATTTAAATACAGCTTGTTTCTCACCTGTGTGCTGGAAGTTATAAGGGTTATTATAAGAGTGAAATTAAGGCTATTTTTGGCACATCTGTGAAAAGCACAAGACTAACACCTATTGCATGTTGGCCTCAATCATTCATATTTTTCCTGGTATAAAAGTTCCAAAAGGGTAATTTATGAGCAACATGGTAGTTAACATGTGAATCATTCATTACAATGAATATTAATACTAGTTTGGATCAGTTTAATATAACCTCCAATTTGTTAGAATACAACATTGCCCCCGGGCCTAATGATAGTTCAGCAGCCTCACCGTGCTTTCCCATTGGCCTGTGGTTGCCATGGTAGCTAACAGGGCTTAATAAGACAAAAAGACCTCTCTCTAATATCACAGGACCTAATTTACAAATCAGGTACTAACAAACTTAACTAAAGGTCTTGGAGACTACGGTTTCTTACAAGAACAAGATATGTTTATATACAGTATATATATATTCCTTTTTTGTAAATAAAACTACGCCTTGGGCAAGATACTTTACCACAAAATGACTACCTGGCATGTATACGTAAGTGTATGTAAATTGCTTTGGATTAAAGAGCCAGCAGATAAAAATAACATGTTACATAATGACGGCGAATAAATATTCATAATGATTTTAATATCTTATATGATTTTTAACTTAGGGTTCATTTAGGATGCTAAGGGGGTTGAGAAAATCTGTCAGTTTTTTTCTTATCTCAAAAAACGGTTTCTGTTTGGAAAGCACCACGTCGTTGCTAAAAGATGCAAGACTGGTACGAAGGAGCTCATCAGTCCTATGATATGCTAATACTCTGAATACAGACGGTAGCGCTGATCCTACTGTGTATTTCAACTGCACAAGACAACTTTATTAAAAAGACAAAACGTCATGGTGCTGGTACAACTCCACAGTTGTTTGCTTTCATCCAGAGCCTGTAAAAAGACCTGGTAATAAATCAAGTAGACACATGAAAGGAGATAGTGTAGTATCCTGTGACTGGGGACGGAGTGAAGGAGTCTGATATTTAGATTCCCTGAAGATACACTAAGAGGCTAAGCTTCTCTTGTGTCTCTGCACTACACAAACAGACATCAGAGAAGAATTGAGACATGCTGATGAGGAATATCCAACAACATGTGGAAGCGTGTTATCTCAAAGGGTCTTCAGAGAGATGTGAGGGTAGAAAGGAAAAGCGAGTGAGAGAATAGCGAAACAGAAGCTTAGGTAGAAAGCAAAGCAGCGGAGGAAAAGGTAGAGGGGGAGGCGAGACTCCTGAAGGACTTTGAAGATGGTAATTTATAGAAAGCAGCAGTGAAGAGTGGAAATTATTCGGAGTGAATGTGACTGTGAAGCACCATGTAGAGAGGGAGCCGAAAAAGCAGAGGAAAAAGGTAAATTATGGAAAACGGACATATAAATGAAAAGGAATGAAGCTGCCTTACAGAACTGCAGAGAAAAGTGCAGAAAAATGTAGGACAAAGAAAAATGTAGTTTTTTTATATTAATATTAATGTATTTTAATACTCATATTCTCATATACTCATATATTAATATATTAATTTGACAGAGCACTTTGTAGACATTGGGTAGAGAGAAAGAGAGGTCAAACCAAGGACGCTCAACTACCCAACGCTCCAATTTCATTCTAAGTGTGTTCAATACTTATTTTGGGAAAGATAATATACAGTTATTAATATTTTATCAAAGAGGAAAACAAATATTTGATGTGCTTAATGTTCTAGAAATTGTCAGTTTACACATCACCTTGACATGTTTACAAAGTATGGTTATGATGCTCTATGATGAGCAAGCTCTTTGGCATGCAGCCTATCACAGCACATTCGTTTTAAATTGACATGTCACTGAAAAACTTTGATTGACATATCACTCTACTATAGCAGACATGGCGCCATGTCAGCGTTATTGTCGTAGAGTCGCAGCATGTGACAAGACAGAATCACTAGACAAACTGCTATACAACCAAACATGTTTTAACCTTTTCTTTCTCCTTTGTCAAACTGTATAACCTCTGTGTGATTAAATATGTCACTAGGTCAAAAGAGGGCTTTTAAAATAGGGTGAAAGAAACCTGTATATTTGACCATTTCCAGCTGCTATGAAGAATAAAGCCAAACAAACTCTGTTGCTTTTGGATTATAAAGATACATATTAAAAATCATGTAAAGTAACATAATCCGTTTATTCAACATGAATAAAAATTGTTCTTATACAGGTCGCCTTAGGAGATATAGATTAAAAGGCTATAGCAACTTATATTCTCCCAGAGGTTTTGGATATACATTCCATGTCTCTATCTATTGCACCTTATCCAGGTCACATTGACACCAAAATGTAATTTCCCCCAGCCATGTCTTCCAGCTCCTCCTGAAGGATCCTGAGACTCTCAAAAACCAGGTGGGATATGAAATCCCTCCAGCACCCGCCACATGGTCTCCCCCACCCCCAGCTGGCTAGAGAACCTCCATAGAGAGGCTTCCAGTAGGTAACTAGGTCAGGTGCTGAAACCAACTGGCTCCTTGAGACTCTGAGCCACTTCAATTGGACATTCAGGAACAATTCAATAAGGGGATACTTCATTGTGTGTTTAAATAAAATCATCTGGCTCCTTTTAATGCAAACGCAAACTCAGATCAATCAAAAGCAGCATAAACAACACAGACTACATTATCAGCATTGGGAACAGATGCTACTTTGATAATACTAGACTGTTTTGCTCATAATGGCCCAAGCACTTATATATTCCTGTAGTGCCATTCCGTAAGAACCCAAAGGAAACACTGTCATTACAGTATCTATGCAAGGGCAGAGAGCTGGTTCAATGGTCAACAACCACAACAAAATCTACATTGTACTTTCTTAATCTTCGTCCAGAGTCTTCTTACCAGGACACTGGCACAAACACACTTGGAGAAAACATCCAGTCTTATATCTAAAAATGGAGGATACCACTACCCTCCATCTCCATCTGTTAGGTCAGTGAAGCTGTTCCCAACCATGCAATATTGAGAAGGCATGTCAACCAAGACACAAAAACAAAATTCTGAAATTTCACCACCTCAGGGGAAATTTTATCCATCTGGCACATTATTACTTCAGGGCTTTTGACCAACTCAGTGACCTGTGCCAGAAGGAAGGGCAGGGCTTCCCCGAAGTCCTCCAAATCTGCCTCCACTGTGTTGGCAGCATTCTCAAATTCCTCAAATTGTTCCCTTTAACGCCCAGGTCAGCAGGAAGTCTCCCCTGTAGAGATCATCGCTCTGAAGACGGTCAGCGATTCTTGGGTTGCTGCCATGTCAAGCAGCAGTGACCTTCTGGCTACAACTTGGAGGGTGGATAACACAATGAACCACTATTATACAATATCCCCAACCTTGCCCAAGATGAAGCAAATATTTCTCCAGAAATAAACCATATGCTGGTAGCTGGTATCCCCCAATGTTCTACAATAGCCTGAGCGTATTCCTCTGCACAAAATTGACATCAACATACCAATACCTTCACCTGATTGGCAGCAAACCAGCCCACCACACTTGACCTTGTGGGCTCATATTATGGGGTTTGTGTGCTAAGTTATCTTTTTGACATTTCACAATTTGGAGAGATATTAACAATAGCATGGGGGTTTTGGTGTGCAGAAGGGAAGGCTTTCTGTGAATAGTATTAATTCAGCAGGATGAAGATGATTTTATTCATACTGCACACTTTAAAATTTGAATCCATAACCATACCTCTCTGCATGCCATCAGCCATGTCATTAGAAGGAGAAGAGCTTGAAATGTGAGAAAACCTCAGTATTTTATGCCTTCCCAGCATTTCTGTTTCAGCCATTTATCCCCATCCATTTATTCATATTTTTTTTAATTAAAATGCTTTAATATTTATATAAAACAGCATTCATACCCTTCAGGAAAAGATTCTCTAAGAACACCAAACAGCAGTAAGATGTCCGTTTGGTGGCTACAGAGTTAACTCGGAGAAATTGCCTTTCAAGTCTCAAAGCTCGAACACAGCATAAGGGAGTCATGATGAGACATCTCCAGTGGACGGACATTTCCAGTTGGACATGACATTTGCTTCTTTGAGGTTTCAGGGCACAGAAGTGCTGAAGTCTTTGAAATGCCAAAGGGACAGTGAATGAAGTATTTGAGATGATTGACACTATTTGAACAGAATGGGACTCAGGAACTCTGAATAATGTCCTTAATGTAAAACACATAACAGGGCACTTTTGTATGGGCATGTAAAGACATGTTGTCACAAAAACAGTTGTGTGCGAAAGGGGAAAAATAAAAATAAATCTAGAAAGGAAAGATTTTCTTTTACCATCAGATATACTTCAGTTCTCAGTGTGTCCACATGTGGCAGGAACACTGAGTTTGAGGCAGTGAAGACAGACGTTATAGGACAGAGGAGACATGAGAGTAAGAGGGAAGTGTGAATATATATAGTAGCATGCTAAGGGGGCTGTGGAGATGTGTGGGGGGGGGTACTGTACCTCTGTTGCCAGTGACTGTGGGGTCTGAGGCGTGGGTGCCTAATTGAGCGGTAGGATCTGGAGGGATGGGATGTAGGGGGGGAGTGGTGGATGGAGGCAGGGTTGTGGGGACGTCTGGTGGAGGGGACAGACAGACACATATACACAAAAATAATACAATAACAACAACAATGAATTCATATGGGGGCAGTTAGTTTAAAATAAAAACATTTTACAGTGACGGGGAACAAAAAAGGGCAACAAGTCCTTAACATGAAGTTGTTGAAAACACACACTTTCAGAAATGGAATAATGAGATACTGTTGATGCAACCTGATGCACTACAAGACATACATTAATTCAATTTCTCATTGATTGAATTTTGATGGTGTTTTTAGGGTCAATGTTAACATGAGTCATATTTGAGAAACAATAACAACTTGGATAAAAGGCTGGATTGTTTCCACTTAGCATATACTGAATCAAAGTAAAAGCCAGAAAATATTTAGTCTATATTCAGAACTTTTAGGTGGGAGTAGCCTGTGGGTATGTCTCAGGCAAAGTGCAAAGTCTGAAAAAGAATGATGCGGTATGCAAGTGTAACAGAAGTAACACGTTGACTTCTTCACATTATGTTAGAGACTCAAACCCTTCCTCGTCATTAGGCAATAGGCGCGTTCACACCGGAGTACTTTGATTAAAAAAGTTCTGCCTTTGAATGTAAGAATTATTTCTGTAGCATGTGCATATGATTCACTTTGGTTCTACTCATGTGGGCGGATATCTGTAAGTATGCAATCTGCACTCTACACCAAATGAAGACAGTGCTTTGACAGAATGATCAGTGCCAATTATCAATGAATGCAAGGAGGATTTCAGGAGAAGTTAGCCAAGCTGTCATTACAGTAGCATGCTCTTTTTTAACTTCTCACTACAGAGCAATGGTAAAATCGTTTCACACAAGGCAGGGTTTCTCACTGTCACAAGTTAGAGCAACAGGGAAAATGGGAATGAAACACTGTGTGACAAAGTTAATGAGGTTACACTACCACCTTGGCTTTTATGTTTGTGTCATTCTGCTTTTTATGGTGAGCTTGAGGCTTTTAATTGGCTGTGGTACTCATTCTCAGGGCCAACTGTCCTGCGTGTCTCGTTGACATTTCAGCCTGGGTGTGAATCACTAAGCAGCGAAGTGCACGTCTTCAGGAAAGAGGGTAGAGAGAGAACATCTCCTCGTTGGAGGGGGACCATTAAAAAGGTATTTTCAAAGAATTATGGCTGCAATTGCAAAAGGCTAAAAGGTCTGCTAATCACTAATGAAGGGTAGGAACAGACTGGCTGCCATTTCAAAAAGAACAGGTAATGAATAAGACTCCTTGACCCTACAATACCAAATTGCCTTTTTCGTGGCGTACTATTTGTCAGTTTAATAACATCACTGTCATGAGGTGCACTGGTTATTCTTGTTGTTACATTCAGCTGGCATTTGAAAGAATTGTTAGGTGCACACAGACACCATGGCATGTGGGATATTAATTAAACCCCCCTAACTAGTCACTGGCACTTAGATAAAGCGTGTTTGGGGCGAGGGACAGCCTTACCTGTATGGGATTTCACAGCCTTCACACAAGATTTGAATTTGAAGGAAACATATCACAAATATAAGATGGTATACAACTATATTCAGTGTTAACCTGGTTATTTGCTTTAAATGCAAATGCAGCACATGTAACATTACATTATTCAAGTAATTCTCTTAGTTAAAAAAGCTTTCCTAAAACAAATGTCTTTATTCAGAATTCACCAAAACCATTTGTGTCATTTAAATGTCAACATTCAGAGGTTTCCTCCATGTTGCTTTGGCCTCGGCTACGACCATTAGAAAGCAGTTCATGAACTATTGATGGTAACCTTAGCTTCATCTTCCTCCGTCAGGGTTTTACTGTAAATCTACCAAGGACACTCAAGAACATAGAGAAATTACTTCTAGCTCCGGCAAAGCATAGCTACCGGCTATGGTTTTTTCTCTCATGTTCATTAGCTAAGATCTACTTTTAAATAAAAGAGCAAATTAGTCACCCCTCTAGTGCATGTAATGATTATAATGTAATATTTTATTGATCCACTTAGGGAAATTCTCTTTTGCCTCCAGTCGTATGTCTCTCTGGCCATACCTACATTCCTTTTTCCTCTTATCGCTCACTCCCTACATTTCTAAAACAGGATGATAAGATATGTATCACGGCTCGGCTCCTTTTTTAAGCATTATTACTTAATGCTAAGAGACAAATGGAAGTGGAGAAAAAAAGCAGCGAGCAAGAGCTATCTATTTTCCCTCACACTGATTCCCTTTTTCCCCCACCTCCTCTGGCTCTACTTGGAATTACTTATCCTTCCCGGTGATATTCCTGACAACGCAGCAGTAAATTCTGCCTCCCTCAGACATTTCCCTCCTGGCATGTGTGTGAGAGTGTATGTGTTTGTGTGTGTGTGTGTAGTATATGGGACGCAGGTTTATTTAAAGAAAGGCGTTGGTGGCATTTGTGTCACCTGAGGCGCTTATTCTCCCCGTGAGAGATGGCACCACTAATCACTCTTAGCACTAATACAGAATGCAGATCAGGATGTATTAAAATCTTAGTTTTTTGCAGCGGTTCTCGTACCTGTGATAGTTAAGACACTCAAGATGTGTCTTTGTTCCTTTATCTTTAGATGTGATCACATGGAACACATTACCCACACATTAGCCTTTCTTTTGAACTCACCATAGACGTAGAGTACATATTCAGCGCTGCTGGTCCCTAGGTGGTTGCTAGCTTCGCAGCGGTAAGTGCCATTGTCTGTCTTGTTGAGCGAAGTAAAGGTGAGCTCCCTCCCCTCTACAATCATCCGGTCCAGGTCAGGAAGTTCACCCCCGTCCTTTGTCCACATCACAGGATCTGGCCTGGAAGGTGAGGGGATGTGAAAGAGAAACAAGGCATGATTTATGATCCTGTCTGAAGCATAAAAAGCTGACATCAACTAACACAGAATTTGAGAGACTTACGAAGGGTTTCCTTTGGACATACACTCCAGCTTTAAGTACTGACCCTCCTGAGGGACTACAAGGGAGTTGATGATCTTCACATGAGGAGCATCTAGGACAGGGAAGAAGAATTTAGGATCAGTAGAGGGACTTTCTCTCAACACACTCCCCCTAAATACAAATATTAACCTGAAAATTGGCATATAAGGGCCCTTTTTTTAAGATGAATATTCTATGATTATTTGACCAAAAATACAGTAGGTTCATCCTATTGCTTATTCCTTAAACCCTATCGTTTTGAAAATATCATTATATAGGATGACCCCCTGATTAAAATACAACATGAAAAGTAGATTCATGATGTGTAACTATAAGAAGACTGTTGAGATCCCATCATTGTATGAAAAGCTTTTTATGGTTGATCATTTTCAGGATTCTGCAGCTGTATACTCATTCTCACTAATTTAGCTACCTGCAATTTTTCTTTTCTGCTTCCATGTCTACAATGTGTGTGTTTGAGTGTGTGCATGTGTTAGTGTGTACACTCACAATGGACCTCCAGTACTTCAGTGGCCTGCTGTGGCGTCTGTGTGAGTGCCACATGGTCCACTTTGCAGGTGTATGCCACTCCATCATCATTTCTGTCCACATGCAGCTGCAGAGAGCTCCGGACTGTAAAGGTCTTCCCACTTGCATTCACCTCTTTGGCACCTTTGGAGAAAGTAGCATACTGTCACACATGCAGCACATTCATCTTGCAAGAAGTGAGGGCCACACACCTGCTTTACAAACCAGACTCCAACAGGATCTTCTATCCACATAGAGAAAGGCATATTATGCATTGAAAACCATGCGCCTAAATAGAGTGGTGCAGGAACGAGTCCTAAAACCCGGAAGTGAGTTAGCATTTGACCACTTCCGGTTCCCTCGTCTCAGAAAAATAGAAATATGGAAAATAGCTGGAAATAAGGTCCGTGGTTGACACAAATTTAAGAGACGAATCACGATTTGTTCCACAAAATTAAATACATCAGCAGTGACCCCACTGGGGATCTTTGAAGAGTTTAGGTGTCTGAAAAACGATGGTTGTTACCAAGTGGCTGAATAGGACTACAGAAGTTGTTGAGGACGTTGTACGTCATTACGCCGAACACGTAAACACCCCTCTAAGTTTGTTCGCCCCTGTTCTGCTTGAAAGCAAGTACCTGCCTCCTGCAAACTGTTCAAACAAACGCTTCAACTTGTACCATTTTTAATCTGTATTTTTGAATATCGATCTTAAGTTGGCGTGACGTTGAAGTCGTGCGACCCTGCTGTACTCGGCTGTAGTTCGTTATTAGCATAACGTTAGCATTTTGCTTCTGGCGATTAGATTTATGAATCGAAAATTACAAGAGTAGGGTAGACATGTGGAGATTATCCAGCTGAACAAAATGTGCATTGATCAGACAGGTCCGTTTTCCACAGATCACATTTTTTACAATATTCCAAAATCCTATGGAGAAATCCTGTTGCTTTTTTGTCGAGGGAACCCTTGCGCAGCTTACTTCCGGGTCGGCCTACACAAATACGTCATCACTGCACCACTCTATAATAACTTTACATTGAAATCTTTATCATTTTTTAGAGTTTTTATTCATAGAATTCTTTTTTTTTGTACTGAAAAAGGCTTTAGACAAAAGAATGATAATCAAACAAAAAATTATCAAACAAGAACAAATAAATATAGCGAACATCACACGTCTCCCCGGAGGCTGTTTTGGCATCTCTACAACACATGTTGAATTCCTGCCAGGACTCCACCTGCCTCAACTCTAGATCGCAGGGCTCTTTGAAAGTAACGTGTATATTTACACCGTAGGCCTTTTTAAGCACTTCTGGCCTCACCTTCCATCTCTGCCTGTGGCTTCGTGGGCTTCACTGCTCCCACACAATGCCTTTCACTTCCCTCCACCTCCACTTTTACTACCTAACAACCCTTTCCAGTCTCATTGGGACACAAACATTACCAGGGCAAATCAGACGTTTGGCAATAACTTCAATCAGCCTTATTGCAAAGTATCATTATGCACAGTCCTCCCCATCTGTACAACCTGCTATCCCGGCAACACCTGCCTTGTAATACCAACTGGACAGCTGATCCACCTCTCTACACACATCAGCACCCTAATCACTGCCAAGGCATTGGAGAACTCCTCCAACCCAGCTTCCTCAAATGATCTACATGATGTCCTGAAATTTGGCTGGCTCCTTGATCACATCATTCCACTTATTGCTTCATTTCCCACCCAAATGACATGAGACTCAGATAAGCCAAATGTGTTTTATTGAAGTTTCAAGACCGGCCCTCATGACAACAATCTTTGACTTCCACATTAGAGTCCTTTAATGAAGATATTGGCTCGCAATGTATCATCATCCATTCATGTAGTGGGTAGAGAGGCCCTTACAACTAGAAGGTCATACATTTAAATTTTGCAACGCCAACATCCTGGATGTTTAACACCAACCTATTGGTTTTAACCAGGAAAATAAACGTTAAAGAATAAACTATCTTCTAGATTTGGGAAGGAATCCTGATCAAATGAATTCCAAAGTAATTTAAGAAACGCGGCTGTGTTCAGGTACCAGACGACATTTTATGATGCCAATTTCTGATGAAGCCTGAGCCTACGCATTTGACATGAATGTTCTCCTAAATTCAGAGTGTTAAGTATGCGTTATGTAATACAAATGACCATCCTCCTCCAGACTACACACTCAAGCCAACTCTCACTGCTTTTCCTACTAGCTGTAACTTAATTCCTTCTACATATCCACCTCCAAGCAGGTATTCTTTTCAATCCCATTTGTTCTACCATCATTTGGGGGTTGTTGTTCTCCTAAAACAAACCAGCAGTAATATAAATCAAGTTTTACATCAGGAAAACAATACTAAAAAGAATACATCCAGTTGTCCACACTAATCTCTATATTCAGGTGTTGCCCTGCTTCGATAAAGTCATGTCCTTTTTTCTTTTCTCTTCATAAAAAATGTAAGAAAGCATCAGTGCATGTACAGTCTCTCTCTCTCTCATGCTGGCCACCATTGTTTGTATCTCCTAAAGAGACTGTTTACGCTCCATATATTTCTCTCCTCTGTGCTCATCTGCTCCACTTTCTAAGCTTTCTCCCCCACTGTCTCCTCTCCCTCTCCATTCTGCCAATCAACTTTTCTGCTCAGTCACTTCCCCCCAACTGAGGGAAAGAGCCCGCCTCCCCTAGAGATGAATGACTGACAGGTCTGCAGTGTTAGCAACATCCACCCAGACAACAAGAGAGAGGGGGGAAATTACTGGATTTCTCCACAAAGAGGAACTCTCAGGAGACAAAAGAGAGGGAGAAAGAGGGGAAGGCTGTAGAGAGAGGACATAACATTTCTAATTTTGCGGCATGCTTGAACTGTTGCAAACATTCACCTACTATTTCTATTAGTTATTCCACGTCCTCCTTGACTGTTCTGCCTGCCTCTATGTCTCTTCATGGGTCATCTGTATTTCTCCCTCTGTTTGCAGAAGGATCCTTCCGCATATATTCTGTTTTCAAAGTCACCCTGTCTCCCTTTTTCTCCCTGTACTGTTCATATTTAAATGTTGTTGTTGAGGTTAGTATAAGGGTTAATAAGTAGTTGGTTTAACTGAGTTGCATCATAGATAGGTTAAATGACACCCCAATATATCTTAATCAACCCATTTAAAAAAGGTTAGGCTTTTTTTCTTGGTCTGTGTTTGATAAGATGATGTTTTCATTTTTAAAAAGTACATACTTTCAAAATAGTTTTCCTTACTGCAGTTTGATTGTGCCTATATTTTACGCCGTTCAAGACCAGAATAAAGTACTTCAATCAATGTGATGGACACTCGGCGGTGGCCCTGTAGCATCTAAACGTAATGTTCTCTTTGTGTTTCAACTCTATTTATTATTGTAGGATGGCTTTCAGCAAATGCGCTTATTTCTCAAAGTTAGTTTATAATGTTTCTATCTAAGATGTTCCTAATTGTAAATGCGCTCAGCTCCCAAACAACACTATCAGAGAGATGGAGGAGCTCACTTTATATATCTTATTGCTGTGTGATTTCAGTGTCTAGACCAATTTACCTTCTTGTCTCATGGCGATGTGAATGGACTCTGATTGCCTCTGTGTGCTTCAGTTGAGACGAATATTACAGAACATGCTTGCACAAAGTTTGAGTTCATTAATTTCATTATTTGGCCCAAAGATTTCTCAGTTCTACTTTGAGAACATAATAACAGTTGTCTCACAGCAAGTAATACTTCACCGTTAAAGTGCGTCAATCTGTATGCACTCATGGCTTCTGAGCTGTTGCGTGTGCGTGCACAAGAGCGTGTGTTCATGCATGTGGGTGGTTGAGAGAAGGTATAATTGGCCTATAAATATCTTATCACATTTTAAGTGCCGCTGAATGGAGCAGCTGACATTGAGCTGCCATTAAAGTTTAGGGTTGTCAATCATCTTTTTTTTTAACTTTGAGCTGCACCAGGAAACTTGACTCTTGCTTTCTCTGTGGAAGAATTTACATACATATTAAAGTGTTTCCTACCAGTGATATTTCACAAAAAAGTCAAACATTGATTCTCTAATGGGGACAAGTTTTCTTTTCCATCGAAACCGTTCTATTTGATTTAAGACAAATCCCAACGCTTTTCATGAAATATCAAGGGTGAGTTAACTCCTTCGAGGCAAAGGCCATATCACTATATAGCACTTTTCATGAGTAAAATAGACTTGAGTTATCCTTATGTTGTTTTGATGTTAACTGGCAAGCACATTTTAAATGCGAGTTCTTGAAGCTGTTGAGCCTAACATCATAATTATTTATATACAATTGTAAGTGCAGGCAGCAGCAACCCCAAGTATATTGTCTAAAACTGCCGTCTCACATTAAAATGTACATCCCATGGTTCTCCTGCATGTATGTAGATTTTAAGCATTTAATAAAAACTCTGGAAGAAAATAAATACAACACTCTACTATTTGCACCTGTGGAAAGTCTCAATAAAAAACACCTGGCATTATTTGGCAATGACTGTGGCGCAGTGTTGTGCTCAGAGCCCTGCATTGTTATCCTGAGCCAAGACCGAGCCATGGAGGAGTAGAAATGGAAATGACAAGCATAAAAGTGGAGGAATGTGACCCTTTCATATCGTTTCACAGAAGTGAGGGACAACTAAAGAAAATAAGATGGAGGGACACACAGGAAAGACTGCTTGGGCAGGAGAGGAATTTCCAACAGTGACTAATCCTGGCAGCAGGGGTCAGAGGGCTGACTCAACATACTGCATCCCATCTGAGGTTTAAAACCATTTTCCACTCAAATCGCCTGCGGGTGAAGATAAACTGAATATATATACATTTAGAATAGTACAAAACACTCAATTAGATTTCACAGAGCAAAAGGAAATAAATATGTTGCAGAATACTACCGAGGCTGCATGTTTTTCTTTGCCTTTCAGAGGAGCTGCACAGAAATAGGTATAGCTGAACTTTAGAGCACTAATACACAGCAGGCTCCAGCTCCAGTGAGGTGTTAAGATGATATATTGTTCCGTCCACCATCTTCTCACATATCCTGGCTACCGTGTAGTGTTCGGCTGTGGATAGAGTGCTGGACTTCGAATCAGGGGATACCAAGTTCGAGTCCCACTGCAGT